ACCTCTCTTGAGCAGCAGTGGCTTGATAATGCTAAGTTTTAAACCCTTGCACCACCAGGGAGGCCCCTCCTTCACATTAATTCTATCTTTGTGTTTGGTTACATGACTAACTGACAGCCTGGAGTTTTAAACAGGAATAGATACTGAGTTATCACTTATCCCTGTACCATTAATTGTAATAATGAATGACATTTCTTCTGGGATAAATCCTGATGAGGTATAGAAGATACATCTTTGTGTGTCTATAAAATATAGACATGTATAGGTGTATAGAAAACTTGGAATACTTGTGTATTGTGTATAAAGACAAAAGCTATACTATATTTCATATCAGAATTATGCTAAATTTGTAAAATAAGCAGGGAAGATTTTATCCTTTCTTTCTCCTACTATGTTTTTATAAGGAAACTGTTTCCTAACTATTTGAAAGAATTTACTCATAAAAACAGGAGGTTTGGGATTTTCTTTCGTAACTATGGCAACTTTACAATATTCTTTCCTTGATTTCAATAATTAAACTTTTAAAGATTTAGGGCCCTCCCTGGTGGTGCACCGGGTTAAAGCACAGCACCATGAAGCTCACCTGCAGCCGCTTGACTGAGAATTTGATTGCCAGCCAGGGAGATGACCCACATGGTGTGGCAGACTATGCCTGGCCTGTCTGCTGCTCTCCTCAGCAGTGCACTTCATCGATTTGCCTGTTCTGCTTCCTGCTCTGCCTCTGGTGAATCCTCTCACCACTCCTACACTTCTGGTCTGTACCCCAGTTTTGTATGCATAAATACATAAATAAATAAATCTTTTTTAAAAATTAAGATTTATAGGAACAGTCTATAGCATGGTATATAATTATGACTTGTTATTCAAATAGAATTTAGTTCCTGAGTATGGATAATGGAATTCAGTCTTAACACAGGGATTTCCATATACTGGTCTTTTTTTTTTTTTTTTAAGATTTATTTATTTATTTATTCATACAGAACTGGAATACATGCCAGAGGTGCAGGGGTGGTGAGAGGCTCCACCAGAGACAGAGTGGGGAGCAGAATAGGCAGATAGAGAGGTGGGCTAAGGGGAGCAGTGGGCAGGTCAGGAGAGGTCTGCCATGCCATGTGGATACCTCCGGGGCCAGGGATCGAACTCGCACTGAGATGGTTGCAGTGATGTGTCCTAACCTGTTGCGCCCCCAGAGAGGGCCCTACTGGTCTCTTCTAATAAAAGAAAGGTCACCCTATTTTACAGTACTTTCTCCTTCCTAATTCTATAAACTAGCATTTTATCCCCTTTTCTCAAGATAAGGCTTGCAAAATAACTATTTGTTTTTACTAATACTTGCCATTTCTTTTCCAGCTATGGTTACTTATACTTCTATTCCCCGCCCCCCGGTTTTTATTTAAGTCTTTATTATTTACTTTTCTAGCTTATGATAAAGACTTAAGAAAATGGGATTTTTTTGGGTCCTCCTTGCTGGCACGGGGGTTAAAGTCAGTGCTATCAAGTTACTGCCAGACACTGCAGCATGAGTTTGATCGCCAGCCAGGGAGGTAACCCACATGGCACAGCAGACCTCTCATCTTGCCTGCTGCTCCCTTCAGTAGTGTGTTTCAGCCAATCCTCCTGTTCTGCTCACCACTGTTTCTGGTGAATCCTCTCATCCCCTGCACCTCTAGCCTACATCCCAGTTCTTGTATGCATAAATAAACAAACCTTTAAAAGTCTTTTTGGTCTTTTTGGACTGGATTAAAAAGATATGGTACATATATACAATGGAGTATTACTGAGCAACCAAAAAAGAGAAACACATGTCTTTTGCAGCAACTTGGATGGAGCTGGAAAAGATCATGCTTAGTGAGATAAGCCAGAAAGAGAAAGAAAAATACCGGATGGTTTCACTCATAGCAGGAGTATAATGGACCAGGCGAGAAAATAACAAAACTAATGAACAACCATATACCAGAGACATTTTGCAGGGGTGGAGTGGGGAATGGGATCAAAAACTGGGGGGTGGGGAGGTATAAGTGCACGGGATTATGGTGATGGCACACAGGTGACTTGGTGATGGGAAACCTGCGGGGGTTATAATTGAGATGGAAAAAAAAATGTACAAAATGATGTAAATAAACTGTTATAAAATTAAAAAAAAAAAGTCTTTAGTCTACCTTCTTCACTAATGTATTTCAAAAACCTCGAGTGGATGCACAAATATTCATCGAATGAATGAATTTGGCTCAGAGTTCAGCTTTGGTAACATGGCCTAAAGTCACTATTTGATAGTTTTTAATTACATATTTGATGCTTCTTTAATCTAACAACTACTTATAAAATATGTTTTAAATCTCCAAGAAAATAAATATTAGTATTTCTTGGTATTAATTAACAGAAAGAATGTGGCCTCGCTACACTCTACTTTTTGGAATTCATCCAGTTTTACGTGTGGCTCCTGCTATGGCCATTCTCCTACCAAATGGCCCATAACTATTTAAAGCAATGTGCATTCCTGAAGGTATAATAGTCAAAATACAGTATGCGAATAATCGTCGAAACACAGTATGCTTCTGCTCTACTACACTTCCGCAATTCGTCTTTGATTTCAAGGTGTTTCTTTAACACACTTCACTGACATCTTAGTTTGTTCATAAAGATTTCAGGATTGCATCTTCACTGAACCATAACCCTGTAAGACAATATACAGTAACTTACTTTGTACTATTTACTGCTGACTTTCCAAACACTGAGTTCTACTCTCTCTAGTATTATTAGAACTGTCTTTGTCTTCCCCATCTCTTCTTTCTTTGAAAACCTCTGAAACCTCTGAAAACTCTTTGAAACTGCCTGGATGTAATCTGGCTTGTTTGCCGTTCAAATTCTTTTAAAGGGGCCAGAAGCTCAACCAAGACCCCAGGGAGGTGACATTTCTCAGCAGTGGCAGCAGGATGGAACAGAGGTCTGGAGGGCAGGCGGGACCCAGCTGTGCACATGACAGTGCTGTCTGGACACTGTCCCAGCATCAGCGTGACTGTGAGCGACCCCCTCCCCCGCTTCCTCTGGCCTCTCATGTAGAGAACTCCTAGCTTCCTGCTTCCCGATCATCTTCTATCTTCCGGCTTTGGATCACCTCACAGACATCCTGGAGACTCACAGCTTGATCAGCCTAGAAGACAGCGGCCCAGCTGTGGCCCTCTCCTGTACCAAGGTGCTGGCCCGAGAGCCTTCCTAGACCTGCCCGTGGGTGGACTGCAGTGATGCGCTTCCAGCCTGACTGAAGATGCTGGCTTTGTGTCTCTTCAGGGTAGATACACACATTCTCTTTTGTGGCCTCTCAACTAGGATGTGTCCCTCTGAAACTCACACTGTTGCCTGTAGGAGGTCTGGCTCCTCTTAACATGGATTCTCAAACTTTCTTCCTCCTTGCTAGATTACCTGTCTGTCTGATTTTTAGACACGCATTTACCTCATCACTCAGACTCAGTTCAGGTGGGGATTTTGGAAGTAGGCTCAAAGTGGAGGAGGTGCAAGAGTTCTGTGGGTTTGATGTTTTGTTTGAAAAGGAACTCTTCTGAGTTGCAAAATTTGGTCATTTGCACGGCAAATTATTCAAAATCTCAGATTAACTTGTGTACTGAAAGTTTCTGACTTGCACTAATGTTTTATGTTTCTTCACTCAAAATGAAAACTAAAAATATTGTCTGTCCCCTCTTTCTTTGCTTGCAATTATATATTTAGGAACCTCTGTTTTGATCCTATGGGAGAAAATATCTACGGTTCAGAACTACCAATAGCAGGGAAAAACTTTTTTGGGGGGAATGAAATGTTTCCCATTTTTGTGGATTTTTAAAAAAAGAGTTATTTATGCTTATAGAACTGGGATACAGGTCAGAGGTGCAGGGTGGTGAGAGGCTTCACCAGAGACAGAGTGGGGAGCAGAACAGGCAGAATGATGAGGTACCCTGCTGAGAGGAGCAGTGGGCAAATCAGGAGAGGTCTGCTGCACCCTGTGGGTCACTTCTGAGGCAGGGATCGAACTCACAGTGAAGGAACTGCAGGCGAATTTCATGGTGTTGCACTTTAACCCACTGCACCCACCAGGGAGGCCTCATTGTGGATTCTTAAGCACACTCTTCATGTATGTGACATGCTGCCTGGGTGAATTCCGAATTTCGGCAGAACTGCTACAGTTATCAAACATTTGGCACGGAGGTCAAAACCTCACTTGAAGTTTTGGTCTATGTGGGGTTTTTTTTTTTTTTGAAAGCGCTGATTAGCAAAATGCAAAACATGCACCCTTATCACTTTCTTGTCCTCATGTCTCATTACTACCTAATGGTCTTCTTTTTTATATATATATAAGAAAGACCACAGGATTGGATGCAGTGTTCTTTACAACAGGCCTGGTCTACACAGAGCTGCAGAGGGACAAGGTCTTGGCTCCATCAAAGAGCTAGTGTCTGCCCTCGAGGTTTAACTATTTGGCTTTTCTGATCTTCAAAATGGTTTTAGTCTTGGGTCCTACAGGCTTTAAGAGTAGCGGAATCTGTGTCCCCATATTTTATAGGGAATCTTGTTAAATGGGCAAAATAACTAACAAATTATAAGCTGAGCTCTGTGAGTAATTAGGCTGTGTGTTACAAATGGAGTCTTTACCAGAGAGCTATGTTCCAAGGAGTAATCCCAAATACACTCACACTAAGCAGACATTAAAAAAAATATTTCTTAGCTGTTTCCTTGATTTTAACTTTCTTTTGTCCAATTGTTTTCTTTGTCCATTCTCTTTATTCTAATGATTTGAATGTAAATACTCCATTTATTAGAGGTTTCAAAAACATTTTTAGGGGCCTTCGTGGTAATGCAAGGAGTTTAAGTGCAACACTATGAGACATCTGCAGCTACTACAGCGTGAGTTCGATACATGGCGCAGCAGACCTCTCCTATCCTACCCGCTACTCTCCTCAGCAATGTCTTTCAGTCAGTCTGCCTGTTCTTCTCCCCTATCTGTCTATGGTGAATCTTCTCACCAACTTCCCCCATACCTTTGGCCCGAACCCCAGTGTTTATGTGCATGAATAAATAAATCTTAAAAAAAATTCTTAAGCATTTCGGAACTATTTTTCTCTTACTGACAATGCCAAAAATGAAAATCTGTGGATCATTACATTAATAAATTTGAAACTTGGTATGCTTTGAGACATTACTTCAAATTGGGGTACTCTAGTTATGGAGAGTCAGTGCTGAGAACTCTATTTTCCTAGACTGGTTGTTTAGATGTAAAATGATTGTGTTGGGTGGATGAATACCTGGCTGTACCATCACAGGTGTTCGGATAATTGCCTTTCCCAGTGTTGACTGTTGCAGTGGTGCTCTGATCACCGTCATTCCAGGCCGGATCTGAGGCCCTGTGATTACCTACAAATGACACAAAGGAAAAGGAATTAAAATGCTTGTAAAGGATGAAAGCATGAAGAACTTAAAATACAATCTCTAAGTGGAGTCTACTGATACACATGTTTATAGAAATGGCAGAGGCTCTTGGATACTGCATTTTAAATTATATTAAGCATGAAAATAAAGATGGAAATCTGAGGGGGGAAAACTTCATAATTCATATCTATAACCGAAGAGGCTGTAAGAATAAGCTCAGAAACAGAATGTTCTTTCATAGTTTTTTTCCAAGGACAGACCACACAGCAGGTTATTTTCAGTTTTATAGTTAGGCCCAGAACATTTTTAAGTCTTCGAGACTTTCAAGCTTTTGCATACTACTAGTGCCAAAGAAATGCTGTGTCTGGTCTATGTGCATATCAACTGACTAGTGACAGTGGTGTGGATTGTACTTTAAAATCCTACTTCTTAGCTGCAAAATGATTAGGTGGCTAATCGTTATCTATTGTTTTATATATAAAGAACTTCTTTATAAAATCCCAGGATACATACACTATACTGATGTGCTACTAATTAAATGCTAGAAATTAACAGATCATGGATCATTTTGACTTAAAAGTACAAGAAAAGGAATTTTCACAAAAACAGGACTTTGTCACAGATTAAGTAAAAGGCAAAAGAAAACTAGAAGGTGAACTGACCCTGGGAGAGGCCATTTTAAAACCTTCCGCCTCAAACCAAAATAAGCCTGTAAAGGAATCTTACTTGTGAAGTGCTTGTGCTTCCTGCCGAGCCTGAGGTATTGGGTCTAATTGTGACTGTCGCTGTCCTGGGCTGGAAAGAAGTAAAGGTCTGCTGACTTGTACCTGTGCTCGAGGGGATGATACCCAGGACCTTCTGTTGTACTTGAACAACCCCTTGGAGAAAAAAGACAAAGAAGCAATTCAGAACTTCCGCTTCAATAAAGCTCAGGTGTTGCTCGGTTTCTGAGAAACTACACGTGGCAGGGTTTGATAGTGGGCTACATAGAATGTGAGATCCGAGGACTGAAGTCAGTGAAAGGAAATGAAAAATAATGGCGACAGTATGATCTGGCAAATGTGAGTTAAAACTCTTCACATTTCCCTTACCTCCTTGTGTTGCTGGCACATTTACAGCGACAATCTTGCTGTTTGCAGGAAGTGGCAGTTTGGTAATTACTTTTCCTGCCATAGTGACTGGATTGCCTGTAATTTGGAACGTCTGACCTGTGCTGGCAATGCTTGTAGCAGATGTGGCAGCTGTGCTGGTGGCTAATGGGGTATAAGACATTTAATAAGCTTTAGATTTAAAATAACCAGCAACGTAGTGACTTCTCGGAAGGGCACCAACGCATGAAATGTGGCTCGTTTTGTTTTTTTAAGAAAAACATTCCTCTCCACTCACAGTGAGTCATGTAAATGCTGAAAGTGAAATAACGTGAGAGGAGCTCTGCTAATGTAATATCATGAATATCATCTGCAACAAACCAACTGTCACAGATTCTTTGCTCAATCAGCTGCAGAAAAAAAAAAAAAAACTTTCTAAAGAAAAGTTTCATTTAAGCAGGTAAAGGATGGAAATGTCTTTGTCCAGAATGAAAGCAATGTTTAGTGTGACCACAGCGTGTACCTGAATTGGACTGGCCTTGCTTAACCCAGGTAGCAAAGGTCTGATGGAAGTTCTTGTTCTGCTGGAATGTCACTGTGGCTGGAGACCCAACCTTCGTAGCGAGTACCACTTTAGTTCCAGGTGTAACTGAACCACTTATGGGCGCTGCCATAACCTTCTGCGCTGCAGAAATGGTGCTAGTGGTGCTGCTCGTCGGGGAAGTAGTGGGAGCTGCGATGACTGTAGGTTTCTGCTGCTCCAGTCGTTTCTAAAAAGTCAGGGAAAGAAACACGAACCAAAGCAGTGCTCCATGAAAACGGTATCACTGGGCAAAAACATTCAGCCACAAGTTCTCCTAGATTAAGAAACTGCATCAAGTTTTTAAAATGCTTTTCCTCCAAAACTGTGCAGAGAAATTTACACTTTTGCATTCAATTTCTTGACAAAGACAGTATTTCTGGGATTATTACAAAGATTTTATTAAAAGTAGTATGTTTTTCGTAAGAGAATCTTATAAACAATCATGTTTTTCCAGGCTGCTCAGCTGTGGGGCTCAGAGCAAAAATGGTTTGCTGTGCTGCTAGTTTACCCCACTGTGGGAAGCTGTCCATATTGAACATTACTATTCAAGCCGGCAACCCTGCCATCCAGTGAGCTGGAAATTACTAAACGTTTTTTCTAGACCACTTAATATTACTCATTTTAAACACTTTTACAGAAAAAAAAATTTTAAATTATTTTAATGGAAAGAGGTAGAATCTGACCTTTCAGTCAAGATCACTGAAAGAACACCTGTTTACCTTTAACCATAGACGCTGCCCTTTCCTGCCAGCTTGCCAACGAGAGTGGAAGCTGCCACTTGTGAAGACAACAGGAAGTACTGACTGAGAACCTCATGGCAGGTGTTTTACCATCGTTATCTTATTTAATGCTCAGACCAACCCAATAAAGTTACTAGTGTTAGGACTTAAAGGGAGGGAAATTGAGACTTCAAGAGGTAGTGCAGCTGGCAGGCCAAAGAGCCAGTCAGTGGTGGAGCTGAGCTGTGTACCAAGATAAATTTCAAAGCTCTCTCTTTCTGTCTCCTGCCGTGGAAAACTGCTTAGCGAGGACATCACAGCCGAGCTTTTTAGTGCTTCCTTTGTATACCCGGATGTAATGTGAATTATTTCACGTCATTTCTCACTCCTCAGTAGAAAAGGAGTTTGTTTTGGATACTGAAAAATGTCATACGATTAGAAGCAGCAAAAAAGAAGGAAACTCGACACATACTTAGTAGCTATTTTTTTGGGTTATGCCTTTGAAATAGGAAATACTATCTTTGTAAATTAGTGTTGTAAATGAAATTTAAATACTTTTGCAAACCCACAGCTTGGTATGTCCACAGAACTGTCTTCAAATAAAATTTATATGAAATACATTTAAAAATAAAACCACACAAACATACAGCTCCTGTGCTTCTGGTGAGGGTGAATTTGGCCACAAAAGTCAGTTCGCTGCCAGGTGGGTCCGGCACCACCCGCACCTGCTGCCAGGCAGCGCTGTTGTTTGCGTGAGCCTCTGCACGGGCCCTCGCCCTCCGCCTTCCCCTGTGCACTCACCTTAGCCTGCTGTTCAACTGCTTGTGCCTTTTCTTTCTCCACTCTGCAGGGGAAAAAGAAAGAACTTAGACATCTGCCATCTAATATTAAGTGAGATCTCGTTGACTTTCGTATCATAAAAAGGTAGGAAATTATTTTGATTAAAAATAAAACATTTAAAATTAATATAATTAGAAACGGGCAAATGGATAATAATTATTGAAACCAAGAAACATAAGCTGTGTTTGCTAGTACTTAAAATAAGAAAGTGGAGTAAAACTACCTGAGACATTTGAATAAACTATCAAAGGGATAATTCAATTTTGAAGTGGTAAAATTTTCAAATATCTGATCACATACGAACCATTTCCTTACCTCTCAGCAAATGCCCTAATTTCCCATAATTCCAACTCTTCTTCTGCTACCCAGGTTTCAATAATAACAGGGCCAGTTTGCTTGGGCGTTTCTGGTCTCTTTGGCCTTAACGCACTTGATCGAAGACCTTTCCTCTGAGGTGTAGGAGTTTCTTTGGAAAAGAAATTAGGGTATTTTAAGCAACACAGCACCTAACATTACATTCCTTTTGGCTTCTTCTCGCTTATCATGAAAAGCAGAGAGGGTGAGGTTGGCACAAAGTTTTTCTTAAAGGGCCAGATGGTAAATACTTCAGACTATGCAGGCCAGATGCTCACTGTCACTCCTCAACTCTTTAAGGAGAGAGGAGCCCAGGACCATAGGGAAGGAGGTGCGGCTGTGCTCCTGCACCAGGGGAACAAGGTGGGTGCAGGCTTGCGGGCCCCTGACAGGAGGAGGCCAGGAGCCTTTGCATAGTCTGTCCCATCAGCCTGGGGCACCAAACCAGGTCTCCTCTCCTGACACCTGACCAGTGCTTATTCACCTCATAGCTCAGTGTGGGTTACAACTCCGGTAACCACAACACCCCCCCAGAGCACTGAAACTGTCATGGATAAGTAAAATCTAATGACAAGATTGAAAAAAAAGATTTATTTATGCATATGGGAGCTGAGATATACACCAGAGTGTGTGTGGGGAAGGGTGAAAAAAGGGGAAGATTCACCTGAGACAGAGTGGAGAGCAGAACAGGCAGATGGACTGAAACACACTGCTGAGGGGAGCAGCAGGGGTCAGGAGAGGCCTGCTGCGCCACGAGGGTTAACTCCCTGGCTGGAGACTGAACTCAGGCCATAATGGTGAGAGCACTGAGACTTCACCCCTAGGCTACCAGGGAGGCCCTCCCCCCTAAATATTTTTCTTGCAATGTATCGACTTTTGTTTATCTATCTAGAACCTGGACACCTTACTGAACAAAGCACTAATAGTTTTGATTCTCAAAAATTTTCAAGGTCTAGGTGGACAGTCATAATTATTATAAAATAGCATGAATTTTGTTTTTTCCTCAATATTACTCTCACTTTTTTTTTTTTGTTTTGTTTAAAGATTTATTTATTTGTGCACACAGAACTGGGGTACAGGCCAGAGGCTCAGGGGTGGCAAGAGGCTTCACCAGAGACAGAGTGGGGAGCAGAACAGGCAGATCGACGAAATACACTGCTGAGGGGAGTGGTCACCTCCGGGGCAGGCGGGAATCGAACTCATGCTGCAGTGGCTTTAGCTTCTTAGTGCTGTGCTTTAACCCATTGTGCCACCAGGGAGGGCCAATATTACTCTCATTTTATTGCAATTTAGGTTAACACTTATTAGTACTGTAATACCACTACCTTGTCTTTATTTCCTGGAAATCTCATCTTCTATGGATCTGCCACCTGTCTGTCACGGGCGCTCCATAAATGCTTCCTGTTTCTTTATGATTCTTATATATAATTTCTACTCTAAGCACTAAGGCATCTCACTGACAATTGATGTGTCTGAAGTGCATCAGGTGGAAGGATGATGAGCAGGCAGGTCTGGCGTTTGCCCTCCTGGGGCTGACGGTCTGACTGTCTGGTGTCCACCACTCCACACCTTCATTTTAAGATGCTGACCACAGTTCTCCTATGTCCCTTGTACACGGCTCAATGCCTGCACGTGCCAATGTGTGGAATGTGAAGTACGGTATTTAAAGCAGAACTATAGTGGAAATAGCTTTTCCAAAAGTTGAAAAAAGGATTAAGGAAATAATTATAATCAAATTTGGATTAGGAGGTGGGCTAACAGGTCAATAATGGAAGAACAGAATTCTTTCTGCTCCTTACCTTTTGGTGCTTCTGGAACCCCAATGGGACAAATGATTTTCCTGATACAATATTCAGATCGAATGCCATAAGGACCAACATCTCGCCTCTTGATTATCTCTGTTGTTGTGATTTCAGTTTCAGATGTTTCTATGGTGATTTAATTCACATAGTATTAATAACTACTGAAAATACTCAAGAGACTAAAAAGGTACAATGTCTGGTGTTTTTAAAAAAAGAGACCTGGCAGCAAACTGGCATTTGGTTAACTGATGACGACAGCTACATTGCTAGACTACAATAATACTGCGTTTCTTCCTCACTTGAAAATGTCTAGACTGGGCAAAATGCTGCTTGGGGGCAGCTTAGCTCCCTGTGGCAAAACTCAGTCAAAATAATAAAAACCCTAGAAGAGAGTCAATGGCAAACAGGATTCTAGCTGTCCCCACTGAAATGATTTATACTCCATGATAATAAAAACCCTTTTAAAATCCAGACTGGTTCATAGGTAACTGACTTGTAATTTGAACCCAGGATTTCATAGCACATACAAAGCTTTATTTTTAAAACACAAGCATTATGTTTTTAGTAAGTAACAGATATGCTTCAGATTGAGCTGTTAAGTGATTTTTTTCTTTTACACTTGAACTAGGAAAAATAAAAGCCCTCACCTGTCCGTGTGGTCCCTCCGCCTGGAGGGGCCTTGGCGGCCATGTCATCCCACCGCAGGCTTGCCCACAGCAGCCGGAGCATAAGGCTCACTCCAGCTAGGGACTTGACAGTCTGAAGTCTATACCTGAAAGAAAAACCCAAGAAAAGACCACACATATATATTTATATGTGTATATATGCACGTACACACACTATAAGCTGAAGGACTGTTTGTCTTAATGACTTCAACACTTACAATACAGTTTGTAAAAGCACTTTGGTTTTTATGTACCTTTTAACATAACTTTTTGTTCTAGGCTTAACAGGTATCCAAACTTTTAAAAAAAGGGTCTAGTCATTTCAAATGCCATATAAATATGTAAAATTAGCCTGTCTCATTGTAAAATTGATATGGTAGTACTTATGGAGAATTTATAAACCTAAGCTACTAAAGTACGTGATAGAAAAATTATGAAGAGCAAATATAGAGCAAAAAAATAAATGTGCTATTAAATGTGGTAAAAATAATTTTGAAGAATAAAATCTTAACTGATTTTGCTGGGGAAAAAAAATGAATGCTTAAATTTTCTCGAAAAGCAAAACAACACGAAGAGACCTCACAAATCCAGTAAGACATTTCCAAACAGACAGAAATTTTATACCCAAATGTTGGTTCAACAAAATATGAACTACTGGGTGATGGATATAATTAACACGTTAACCACATTAGGGTAGTTTGGGGACCCTGCAATACAATGAATTAAAAAGGCAATGGGGTACTAATCAGGAACAAAGGACCCTGTGGCTCACGTTTTTTCTAAGCATTATGGGTAAAGTGAAATACTGAACATTTTAGATATTCTTGTCCTATTTCTGAACAAATTTACGACTGCAATGAGTGTCATGTCTTACAGTGGAATCAATCACAGAACATTTAAAAGCTGCCCTAAGCTGTCACTTCCGCATTACTGATATTTGCATAATTAATTTGTTGACACTTCCACATACTAAGTGAATATTCTAGTTGATTTCAATGTGGAAAAAACTTATACAACTAAAATAACTTCCTTCTCTAATAGGGTGAAGGTAATCTTAAGAAAATCTGCATCGAAAGACAATGTTCTCTTAATATTAAGTGGGAAAAATGAACAATGTGGGAAAGGAAAGCTCTAAGTCAAATGTTGCTACTTTCTTCACTTCCGGTCTCCACCCATGACACCTGATTTTCTTTGGTGTGTGATCACCCTGTGAATCCTCGGACTTGGACAGAACAATTCATACCGTAGTGGGAGAATGTTAACTAGTGCAGGGCTGTACCGAGAGGGAACGTGTCACTTCCAGACTACACTTCATAGACATGCCTGGGGCACATTGGGCTTGTGGGAAGAAGCAAATGAACCTTTCTTTGGAGAGAGAAGTATTCGCTTTTCTCCCTGCACACTCTCTCTATGCTCAAACGACAGCTTTATCACATCCCTATTTTACAGTAAAAACACCAACAGGTAGGGGAACACACCTCATGCACTACCAACCCATTTGTTCATTCACTCGAAAAATAATTGGTGTGCCTTCTCTGTGAGTGTGAAGGAGCAGGGGGCGCAGTCAGGCGTGCTCAGAGCTCTAACAGAGGGGACCACGAGGGAGGGGATGGGACACGGCTCAGGGTGGGGCAGAGATCTGCTGGAGTCTCAAAGGATAAGGATACAGGGATGGAGACTAAAACAGTGGGTACAAAAACAAATATGCTTAGAGCAAAGGGTGCAAGAACACACACACGTTCCTAGAAACCACATCAGGTATACTAAGGCTATCTATCGGAAGGGGCGTGGAGGTGAGCAAGAGGTGGAGCTGGCCTGAGAGATGAGGCAGAGCCGGAGCATGTGTATGAGCGGGAAGGAGTAGAGACAAGTATTAAAGATGACCTATGTGAAGCTTCTGAGAAGGCTCAGTGCTGATGGGCTTAAGGGGAAGCACTGCTGGCGGATGTGATGGGAGTGTGACAAATGCTGCCCCCTCCTGACCTGCAGTAGTTAACACGCCCTGTTAAATGCTTGCTCGGTTCAGTCAGAATATTCACAGGATAAATCAGCATTTTTGGGGCAGCACTGTGGAGACAATACCAGTTCAGAGTGATAATGAAACACAGAATCAGGGCCTGGGAGAAAAGGTGTAAGGGGATGGACAGTGTGGAGGGAAAACGAGGCCCTAGTGAGTCGATGAGGCAAGTTTCACTTTTCAGTACTGGTCAGCCTTCATGTTAAATTAATAGAGATCATACATGTGCCTTTGGCTTTCTCAGCTCCTACTCTAAGCACCAGACATATTTTGTTCATATGTCAGTATAAAAATGCATTTCTCATGCATGATTTTTATCGGGAACCATTTTTTAAAAATGCATTCTAAAGTCAAGAATAATTGACATTTTTTTTTAACCCATGCTTCCATCAGAAAGGGGATTATGTTTCTTTCAACTTTAGCGAATTAAGACCATGGCATATATCTGAAGGCAAATATGTTTAAAATATATAGGAAGTTGTTTCCTTCCATTAAAAAAAAAAACCAGGAAATTAGCTAAACAGATACAAATTGTGCTCACAGTCATATTAAACCGTAACAGTACAAGGATCCTGAAACCCGGCCATGCAGAAAAGGGCCCTGGGCAACACTTGATCAGAACTGGTTCAGAGAAGCGCTTCCCGGACAGCCTGCCTTCCGCGTCAGAAGAGCGCACAAAGGTTGGCCTGGGTCATTTTAATTCAATTATTGGTACATAGTAACTTTTCCAGTGGGAAAGAAGTTACCTGCAGGACAGTCAAGGATACATTTTGGGACCGCTCTCAATGAAGAAAGCAGAAAAGTGCAGAGTAATCCTACAAATCCATGAACTGTAATGAAGAGTTCCTTGATTCCCTGCAGGATTCTGCAAATCCTTCATTGCAGGCCCTGCAGAGAAATTGTACTTTTCAGCTGTCTCTATTGAATGTGTAATGGAGTGATGATATTTTAATTTAAATCAAAAGATGAGTTATAAAAAAAACTTGGCCAAACCAACTATGGTCATAATTATAAATGAACTTCTTTATAGAGCGTACTCATACACTTCATTTTTGGGTCTTCAATCCTAGCTAACTGTAACTTAAAGGAAACAAAAAAGTATGATTTTTAACTTAAAGGAACGGGAAACATATTAAAAGACATAGAAATGAAGCCTAAAGTGACATGGCGTCTGCTCAGTACCTGCTGAGGGGCCATTCCACGGTCATCAAATGTAACTGTGACCAGGACGGCTCCCGCTTTGTGAGTATGTCCCCCAGAACCCTGATGCTCATGCTCTATCCTTTTCATTGTAAGGGTGAAAGATAAAAAGACAAGGGTATGAAAAAGGACAAAGCAAGGACACATATGTGAAATGCAATGTAGCAGATAAAGTACTGGGCTGGGGCGCAGTAAATCTGGGCACTGCTCCTAACTCGGTCCTGCTGCGGCCAGAAGCAAATGATTACACAGCTACAAAAGATAAGAACTGCAAAATCCTTTCCCAATATTAAACTATATGATCTTACAACTGCTAAACTATGTCCTTGTGATTCATCCCCCAAACTTAATGCCCAGAAAATTTTTAATTAAGGCTATTTCTGGGTTTACAAAAAAGCTCAGGGACTACCTAGCTTTTCTCGGGTAAGTAACAGAGAGCTCCCAAACAATTATTTATCATGCAGGTCAGTTACATGAGGAAGAGTTCCACATCATGATGAACTGTGTGTGATTCACAGGCATGTTTCCTTTGTCTTATGCTTTTATGAATTATCCAAAAGAAATAAGATATAAACATTCCATGAAACTGGTGATTATCCAATTCTATGATTCTCTTGTTCCCATGGCAATAAACTAGAAGGTTAGACCACAAAACAATCATGTTTGACATGTTTGTCTTGCGAAAATTAAAACTGAATTTTACTCTAAAGGATTCCTTTATATTTTCTGTCTTTAGACATTTTCCCCTAAGGAAACTTTAGTACCTACCAGCTGGCCAAGTTCAAAACTTTATCTGGTTTCCATTACTTCGGTTTTTAGATATTTGCTTCCCTATCGTATCTCTATCATCCCATTTTTTAAAGAAAAAATGAGATATTATTAGAAAATACTTTTAAAAGTTTCTCCCTTCCCCAAATCCATGTTAAAGTACATACCTCCAAGTGATACCAAAGGTCGGTCTAGGAGAAGGATATGGCCATATATCCAAGGCAGGTTTTGCATTGTAATTAAAATAAGGGACTTCTCGGATTCCTCCTTTTCGGGCCAACTTTTTTAAGTCATCATTAGGCAAAACAAATATGCTCTTCTTGCTGCTCTTGGTAATAAACTTCCTATAGGATGGCAGAGCGGTACCTGAACGAGTCTTCTTGGGTCTTGAAAATTTCATGAGTTTCACTTTGTCTCTGGTGGAATATTCTTTGCTCACAGTCATAGATGTTACCAGAGTGCCTCCTGCGGTGGTCAGGGAATCCGTCACTGTCGTGGTGACCACAGTTTTGCTCTGCTCCTTCACGGAGATGATATCTACACTGCTGCCTGCGGAGGGTGTGGAAAGCTTTGTTACTGTGGTGGTGGTGGTGGTAACAGTGGATTTGGCACAGTTTTCTGTCGAAGAGACTACAGTTTGCTTATCACCTTTTGCTACCTTGATTACGGTCTTTGATTCCGTGGCCACCGTGGATGTCAAAGTGGTAACTTCTGTGATGACTGTTTTTCTTTTAGATTCTCCATTGACATTTTCATCTTTGTTGGTGAGCAGCCCATTTTCATCAACAAATTCACTACTCTGATTAGATTCCTCTTCAGAAGTAACAGGCGATGGAGTCACCTTCTTAGCGTCGGAGGTCTCGACTTCCATGTCTTCCACGGGGCCGGCAGTGCCACCTGCCGGGCAAGCGGGTGGAGGCGTGGTGGGGGGTGCGCTCACCGTCCCTCTGGCAGAGGTCAGTGCCTTCCGGCTGTCTTGGTGGTCTCCTTCAGCACCTGCAGATCTCAATAAACACGATTTTGCTTCCAAGTTATTTTCATTAAGATCTTCCATGATGACATCACCATTCATGAATGGCTTACCAGGAGAGTCTTTAGTAGTCAAAGACTTAGTATCATGTTCAGGAACTACATTATTTATATTATTAACTTTTGATTCCACGTCACCACTCACTACTTTATTCTCCGTGATTTCCTTCACGCATTCCCCTTTCAAATATACTTTAGGTTTATTATCTTTTCCATTCATTTGAAAGGAACTTGCTTTCTGGCCTTTCCTTTCAGACTCTCGATTTTCATTATTCCTTTTGTCAGTGATGCTTTTTAAATTTACTTGATCGATACATTTATTAACTGTTCTCTCCTCTAATTTCTGTTCTTGACTTGGCTTTTTACCATTTGCTTCAGCTACTTTGCCTTGCAGTGCGCCACCACAGTTTCCAGAGGACTTATCTGAAACAAGCTCATGCTTCCGTGGCCCCAGGTCTGCAGTACTTTGCTCTTGAGTCATGAATTGTTCAGAGATACTTTCACTGCTGTTCTGAACAAGCATGTCTTCATCACCACTACTGTCCTGAGTAGACATAGTATCAGAACTATTTTCCAAAGTGCTATCACATTCAGAGTCACACCCCAGCTTTCCCTCCAAGTCCACAGCTTTCGGCAGAGATGGGGTATCACTCTCATCGGTACTTTTAGGTACTGATGAAAATAAAGGGCTCTGGGAAGGAGAAACAACGGTGTTGTTACCCTCCTGTATGAGTGGCTTTTTGTTCTTATAGATCAAAGTACCAATTTCATCTGCACTGGTTAATTTTTCATCAATGAGAAAGTCACTCCCTTTTGTTTTAACCTGATGGGGTTCCTGGTCTCCACTAGCAGATTTATAAAGATTCTCACCTAAGTCACTTCCAGCAGAATTTTGTTTCTGACAGTTAGTCTCTGGGCTCTGAACGGAGATGTCATCTAACATCTGATCTTTTGGATAAAGTTTGTTTGTTGTAGGGTCAGGATCACTGATTCCAAGAACTGAGGAATCGCTCTGTGAACATCCCTGAATCAAGTCTTCAGATTTATCGTTACTTGCGTTAGCGCTTGGTTCTTGGCCGAGCAAGTCACTCTGACACTCTTCTTTTGCTTTTGTTACTCCTGTCAGGTCAGACAAACTTTTCAGAGAACTTGCAGAGGTCTTCCCGATACCCTTAATTCCACCCTCCAGCTTCATTTTTTCAAGGCGCTGTTTTTCTTCCAGTGTAAACTGCTTAATTCTCCTTTCAAGAAGTCCGTCTAGTTTGGATGACTTGATTTTCTTTTTATAACTAGTCCTTAGATGAAAACCCTCACTGACATTGACCACATCTACTTGAGAACTTTCCTGACAATTTAGATGTGGCTCCGTTTTCATATCATCATCTATTTCCATTGGCTCTTCCTTAAAGGACTTATCATTGTCAGAATCTAAAACTTCTTTTACATCTGTGAAATAAAGATATTTATTTAAGTGTAATTTTCAGTCTGAAATCTGGAATTTAAATATTTTAATTTTAAAAACCTACCAGTTTTTCTTATTTGCACTCAAGAGCTTAAGTAGAAATATCTATATACTTCAAAGTTCCTGATATATGATAAAAATGGGTCAATAGACAGGGTGAAACTTTCTAAAAGGCTGAAAAACCACATGTATTTCGAATCACTACTCTTAGTAGCTAAAAATGATGAAATGCCACAGTGAAAAATTACTTAGTATGTGACAGCTATTATATAAACAGTAACTTTTTGTAAGACTTTGCAAAGAATATTTTATGATTAAAAAAATGACTAAAACTCAGTGGGGAAGTAAGTTATGAAAACTGTGTAAGTAGGAAAAGACCTATACTTCTAAGCTGTAACCCTGGCACCTGACTGGCCACAGACATAGCATCCAGTTTACCAGCCCCAAACCCCCTAATCTGTGTTGGAAAGACTGGTTCAGCAGTTTAGTTATATCTCAGGGCTCATGCATTATCTGATCAAAAAAATCTCCCCCTTGCAAAAAACCATGCAAGCTCTTCAGAAAGTTGAATGCAGAGTTATCTCATGACCCAGCAAGTCCACTTGTAGGAATTAAACAAGAGATGTTCACAAATGTCCACAAAACAACCTGTATGTAAATATTTGTATCAGCATCATTCATGATAAGCAAAAAGCAGAACCAGCCCAAATGCTCATCAACTGATGAATGGGTAAGGAAAACATGGCACATCTACACAATGAATCATTAATTAGAAATGAAAAGGAATGGCCGTACATGCTACAGCATGGATGAACCTTGAAACATTGAGTTAAACGAGACCCACAAAGGACCACATATTCTACAAGTTCATCTATATAGAATGTCTAAAATAGTCAATCCATAGAGACAGTACATTGGTGGGTTGGGGGTATGTTTGTTGGAGGGAGGAGATGCTAATTGGGGACTGATTGATGATGGCTACGTGGTTTCTTTTAGGGAGATGCAAATGTTTAAGTGGTTGAACAGGGGCCCTCTCTGGTAGTGCAACAGGCTAAAGCGTAGCACTACGAAGCTAATTGCAGCTGCTTCAGCACAAATTCAATCCCCGGCCAGGGAAGTGACCCACATAGTGCCTCAAATCTCTCCTGTCTCCCCACTGTTCTCTTCAGCAGTGTACTTTGTCAATAACCTGTTCTGTTCTCTACTCTGTCTCTGGTGAATCCTCTCACCCCACCTACACCTCTGGACTATTCCCCAGTTCTATAGGCATAAATAAATCAATCTTAAAAAAAATAAATGGCTGAACAACTCTGTAAATATGCTGAAAACTACTGAATTCTACACTTTAAGTGGGTAAATTATATGACATGTCGCTGTTGTTTCAGTAAAGACAACACAGTACCTTCCTTGCTAGAACTAGACCCAGTGCAATCTTACCACCCCAGGCTGCCCTTCACACTTGACTCTCCTTACCTTGGTCTTTCTTCTCAGTAACCTTTGAAATGTCCATTTCACTTTGGTCTGCTCCTTTTGCAGTATCTGAATCCTTTACCTCACTTTTCTCAGAATCAGGCTCTGTTTTTATTTTTTTTGGACTTCGTGGACCTTTCCTTCTATCCGATTCATCCATATTTTCATCCATATTATTTTTGGCTAAAAGAAACCAAATGCATAGTGATTTCAGGCATCTTGAATATTAGCAATTTAATGTATCTACTTTTTTTTATTAAAAAGTTTATTTTTACATCATTTTGCACATTTTTTTTTCATCTCAATTGTAATCCCCACAGGTTTCCCATCACCAAATCACCCC